TCCTGGGTTTTTTGTTTTTCCATATGAAGTTGAGTATTATTCTTTCCAGATCTGTGAAGAATTGTGTTGGTATTTTGATGGGAATTGCATTGAATCTGTAGATTGCTTTTGATAAAATTGACATTTTTACTATGTTGGTCCTGCCTATCCATGAGCATGGATGATCGCTCCATTTTCTGGCATCTTCTTCAATTTCTTTTTAAGGGACTTAAAGTTAAATATGTCTTTTGTAATAAAATCATTCACCGACAGAGGTTGTCTGAAGCAAAATGTGCAATATTCTGTTCTAGACTGGGATATCTGAACACCACCTACCTGAGTCCCTAAGATAAATCAGGGGGAGAACAAGGGAATCCGTGGCTGATATGTAAAACCAGCATCTCACTGGTTTCTTTTCTCTCTCAGTGAAAGAATTTCTTGTATATAGCAAAAACAGGGGACAAACCGAATAAGGAAACAAATATGTTTTGGGGACATAATCAATGCCAAGTTCTCAAATTCTCGACCTCAGGCTAGCCTGTATGAATAAAGAATGTCAGGTTTGACCCACATTGCAGTATGGCTGCATTTCCCCTAACTATTGGGTCTCACTATAGATGTGGAATCTTGTTTAATGTGCCTATTTTCTCTGATTCTTCATTCATATTAGGTCATAATATTCAAATCCAAGTAATCAACTTAATGATTCTTTGCATGAAATCAATGCCAGTATCCATAGTGCAATCCCAACTCCACCAACATCCCCATCAAATATATGTAAGCCATAGGCTCAGTTCTAAACAATGGCAGACTATGTGACTGCCATAGTCATACTTACTAAAACCTATTCAGTCTTCTGGGTCATTATGTCCTTGTAAAGAAATTCACAGTTTTTTTTTCTCTTTTACACTAACATTTTGATGTGTAAGTCTGATTATCACACTAAATTACAGACTTGATTTTTCATTTTTAAAATCCTTCTTGGAAATTTGAGAAAATGTGATCTATTTATTAACATGTTGTGGTAGAGAATATTCAAAGTTGTTTTAAAAAAAGCTTTTTGCAGCTTTTTAAAACTCAAATGTCAAAGAACAACTAGTATTTTGGAAACTCAATGATTTCATTGTACAGTTGTACCTAGTTGTACCTTCTCCAGAGCCCCATACTGGAGAAGCATGCATGCTATGAGAAAGTAGAAACAAGGATTGTACTGTGTAGAGGGTAGAATGAACCAGAAATTTTTGAATCTCTGCATTCAAAGTCTTGTTAATGAGTTAATTTAAAAGCAGACTTGAAAGAAAGCTTATTATAACTGGAGTGTCAAGCAATATAGTAAACAAAAGTTATGGGAGTCTGGGAAGGACAAAAATACATTGTCCCATTAATCATTTGTCCACCCCTGTGTGTTCCCTTGTTCATCACTGCTGTTCTCATCAGCCACCCAGAATATCAGCAGTCCCAGGAACAAGGCTGGGTACCTCAATCTTAATATTTAAACTGAAGTGCCATTGGTAGTCAGCTCAACTTTGATCTTAGACCTGCATGGATGGAACTCCCTAGAGAATAATATGCATTTCACAGATATGTGCAGCTGTTTGAGAAAAGACAAACTTAGGAAAGGACCACTACTGTGAGGAAAATGATGTAAAATGTTTTCTTCTTTCCAGCACTGGACAAAAAAAGGCATAGGTATGAAATTCTGGGTTAGTGAGGGGCACTGGGTGCACAGGCCATGAATTTCTAAGACAATGTCAGAGACTCATGCACTGGACAATGTTTGGAAAGACTATGTAAATCTGCTTGGATCACTCCTTAATCTACAGAAGTACAAAACACATAGCATCTCATCTGATAATTGACAGTTTTTACTCAGTATAAGAATGAAGCTTAAGAAGTTTCCTGATATTTGTTGCTCCCAAGATAATCCTTGAGGATATGATTAACAAATCTTAGAAACAACCATTCTATGAGACATAGAAAATCTAAGTCTATAAGAACACTCCGTCCTACAGAATAAAAATTGACACTATGAGAGATCAAACAGTATTTAAATAAATTTTGCCAAATTTCTTTGAATGTACATATTACCCTGGAGGTTATTTTGTCCTATATGTTCCCTGTATTCCCTTGATGTTTGTATCACCTAGCCAATTTACAGCAGCTCTCCCACTCTTGGGGATACTGACTGGTTCCCTACAGGGACATTGAAGATGGGAGCTCTCACTTGGGAAAGGAGATAACAAAAGGGTACCAGGAACATCGGTCCCCATTCACTTCTGTGCATGGGAATCAGAGAGCTTGCCTGTAGAATCTTTCTATAAACCTTCCCCAGTCTTTAGGTATAGGTCGCACTTCTCTCAAGTAAGTCTGATTCCCTGCAGAGACTTTCCTCTCCATGCTGGCTATCTCTGGTGTGAGGAACTTAACTCTCCCTGATTCTTCCCACTACGCTATTTCCCTTAGTTTGTCAGTCCAGAGCATTAATAACTGTTATAATAAATACCTTGGTCCTCAGTTATCCATCTCAATGTCTTCTAAAACCACGAAAACACATACAAAACCAAAAAGTTTTTTCCTCTAGAAATTTTCACTTCTAAATTGTATCATATACCCACATGTGATTATATGTATCTATACATAGTCTAATAAACACAAATGAGAGTAACAATGTAATAGTTGTCATTCTGATATCCATTTAACCCAAGTAAGATGATGATCTTCACTTGCTTCCAGTTTCCTGACATCACCATTACTTCATTTTCTTTATTGTTAAAAATATCATTTCTTATTTGGAAACAAAAAAAAAAGGAAATCATAAAGTTTCCAGGTAAGTGGATATAAATGTTAAAGTTTGTACTGTGTAAGGTTTAGAGTTGAGTACTTAATTTGGAGTAGTTGTTGAATGTGGGAAAACATTGTGGTGGGGAAGGATATGTACTTATGCCATGGTGGTTACACCACTTTGTACCCAAAACAAGGAACTTATGAGGCAGCTTTGTCACTTAACTCAGGGAGGTTTTTGTTGAGGGATGTATCACTGTGCGAGGAAGTTCTAGCCACTGCTGACAGTAATAAACACCCACATCCTCAGCCTCTACTCGACTTATTTTCAGTGTGAAATCTGTTCCTGACCCACTGCCACTGAACCTGTTTGGGACTCCTGGGGCAAGGTTGGACATCTGATAGATCAGGAGCTGAGGAGACTGGCCTGGTCTCTGCAGGTACCAATACAAGTAAGTGTTGCCATTGCTATGTAGGAGACTCTTACTAGACCTGCAGGAGATGGAAGTTGATTCTCCAAGACTAACAGGATTGGTAACTGTAGGCTGGGTCATCACAATATCCCCACTGGCTCCTGCAATAACAGAAATGAAAGGTTATGTTCAAACAAAATGACACAATAAATAATATTTCCTTCCTTTATTCATTTGCTACTTATTATGTCAATGATTCATTCATAGTCTATAAATATTCAACATAAAATATCTATGTAGAGAGAGCATAGAGACTCTCTAGAAATGACCTATGCCATCTGTTTTGATACTTGGCAGAGTTTCCATAAGAGCACAGGTTCTCCTCCCTTCACCCTCTAAACTTCACAAGCCCATTCATGGAGAACAACACTGGCAATCTCATATATGGACAGAACATTATTTGCATCAGCAGGTTCACAGAAATCTCCAACCCCTCCACAATATCCTTCTTCACCTTTGTTTCTACCTTACCAGGGAGCCAAAACACAAACAGCCACAGGAGCTGAGCAAGACACTTCATTCTGAGAACTTGATATGAAGAGTTCTGAGTAGCCAAGGCAGAAAGAGGGCCTAGCTTTTGTCCTGTACTTGAAAGGAGACATTTGCCCTAGGGAGCAATATGCAAATGCCCTGGTTGATACAGCTGTGTGAAAAGTACCAAGGGAGTGAAAAGCCCACGCTTAAGAGCAAAATGACTTGTCTCCTATGATTGTAGAAAAATGGATTCATTCCCTACTGCCTATAGCAGGGGACAGATGGATGCCACTGTGTAAGCTGGCATAAATTGAGATATATAGGATCTATAAGCACCATGAATCCCAAGATAGCACCACAGAACCAAGGCAGTCTTTTTTTTTCTTTTTTTTTTTTTTTCCATTCCCTTTCGTTTTTCCTTTCCGGCCCGGGTTTCCTTTTTTTTCCCCCTTCTTGCCCCTTCCCTTTCCCCCCGGCCCCCGCCCCTTTCCCCCTTCTTCCGGGGCAAGGCTTCCCCCAGGGCTTGGGTTCACCTTGTGGGCTTTGTTCCGGGCGGTTCCGTTCCCTTCTTCCCGGCTTGGGCCAGGCTTTCTTGCTTAGGCCCCGGTTTTCAACCGGCCACTTCTTGCATTGGGCCGGGGCCTGGTTCCCCTTGCTTGGTTGCTTCCCAACCTGGGTTGGGCCCGGGTTGGGGTTTTGGGGTTTTATTTGGGGGGAAGGGGGGGGTTTTTTTTGTTGAGGATTTTTTGAACCCAGGTTTGGTTAAGGCCCGGGGCCAATTGGCCAAGGGGTTGGAACCCCTTGATTTTTGACCCAGGGCGTTTTTTTTTACCTCCTTTTTTTTTTGTTATTTTTTTTTCGGCTTGGCTTTTTCTTGTTTAATTGACCTGGCTTTTTTTTTTTTTGTTTTTTTCTTTTTGGTAACCCAGTAAAGAAAACTAGGGAGAAAAGTAATCCTCATTTTTAAAAGATAAATGAATCTCTAATGACAGCTTACTACAAAAATGTTGATACATTAAAGATAGAAAAGGAGAAATGAAGTTGTGAAAACAGGCATATAATTCCCAATAGACAGTTATTACTTGGACAAATACTTGATTAGATTAATAGAATTTCTACCGTTTAATTATAGGACTCAAATAGACAGATACAACACTCTAATTCAGAGTGGGAAGATTTAAATACTATTTCTTCCATACTAGAACTCAAGCAATTGGTTTCTGTGACACAAGTACTTAAGCCTTAGCTGAAGAATATGTGTTCAAATCGATATAGTATATCCTTCTAGAAATCTGTATAATTGTAAATTCGTGCTAATTGTATAAATAAGTAAAAGAGTATATCTCTAGGTTGCTATAGAAAACATGTTTCATCACATTAGAAAATTAGGAGCATGGAGAGAGAACACATCACAAATGAATTAGTGAGGTTTTACTTGATATTTTCAGTTAGGCCTGGGAGGATTTTTCTCCTTTGATAATTTCATATCTGTGTACAATGAAACATGATTATATCCATCCTCCATTTTCTATATCCATGTGCTGTTCCAATACCTCACCCACCTAAAACTATATCTTTTCTATTTGTTTTGTGTTGTTTCTTGATAACCCATTATGTTCAATTATTAAAATCCATATGGTCATGGGTATAGGCCCATACACTGGATCATGAGAAAACTACCAGTGACCACATCCTAAAAAGTAATAATTCTTCCTCCCTCAGCAGCTATCAAGTACCAATAGCTTCTCTAGAAGGGATGGGAGCTGAAGAGCACTTCATAAATCAATGCCTAATATTTGGTTTCCTTGGTCAAAAGGAAACTCCATTCACATACACATTACCAAGGCTAAGAAACATACACTTTTTAATTGAAAATAGATTCTTCTCTCATACAATACATCCCAACCACAGTTTCCCCTGCCTCAACTGCATCTAGCCTCCCCCAATTTCTCCTCTCTCCAAGATCCATTCCTCTGTTTCCTTTTCAAAAAAGAGCAGACCTCCAAGACCTGACATCTAAAATACAATAAGACAAGGCAAAAGCCCTCCTATTGAGGCTGGACAAAGCAATACAGTAGGAAAAGAGTGTCAAGAGCAGGCAAAAGGGTCAGAGATCCACTCATTCCCACTGTTAAGAGTCTCACAAAAACACCAAGCTAACAGCTATAACACAAATGCAGAGGACCTGGTGCAAACCGATTGAAGTTCCACTGCTTGCTGCTTCAGTCTCTGTGAACCAATGTTAGTCCTGCCTAGTTAATTCAATGGGCCATATTCTCTTAGTGTCCTCCATGCACTCTGACTCCTACAGTCTTTCTTTCCCCTCTTCCACAGGGTCCCCAATCTCTGAAGGGAGAGACCTGGTGCACACCTCCAATTCAGACTCTAACTACACATCTTTTTTTGTTTGTTTGTTTTGGTTTGGTTTTTCGAGACAGGGTTTCTCTGCGTAGCTTTGCGCCTTTCCTGGAGCTCACTTGGTAGCCCAGGCTGGCCTTGAACTCACAGACTGTACATCTTAATGCCAAAATTACTGCATTTTATTCAACTCATGTCATATCTACTTTTATAACTAGAAAATATGGAATCATTTTATAAAAGAAATAGATGAGTTTTGAATAAAGTGAAGATTTTCCTATGCAAAATATTAAATAGTAAATGTTTCTCCTGCAACAAAGGAGGAAGGAAAATTTCAGTGGTGACATTCATGTAGACTGTGGTGGGAGTAGTCAGTCTTTAAGAGACAATGAGAGGATTAACCTTGGGCAGCCACCAGATATCAGGACAACTAATTACAGTTGTTTACTTAATCATATAAATGAAAAAAAGAAGATTGAAAGAGTGTAAAGAACAAAGCAAAGGAAGACAGATCAGGAATATACTGAAGAGGTTATAACAGTCATTCTGTCCCATCCTTCCTCACCACCTGAGTGAACAATCAATATACTCAACTCCAATGTCTTCAAAGTTATTTTTTTCCACTTGAAACAATCTTATGTTGGAAAAAATAAGTGAGAGTTTCTCTCTGTGGCCATTAATATACAGTGTCATTTCCTAAACACATTTATTTGCTTATGTACAAAATGCATTGTAAAGAAAAAAAAGAACAATAGAATTGAGTACTGATTTTAAATTTTCATGAACAGATATGGTGACATCAGTAGGAGAAGTCGTGAACTCTGATATAAATCTCTATGCCCAACACTCAGATACAGCATGAGAATTATCATTGTATAAGTACTCAAAAACATGAAGGAAAGCCATTCTCTTAAAACTTTTAAAAGGATAGTGATTCCAATATGTGGAAATTCTAAGGTACAAAGGAAGATTTCAAAATTCAATTTTCCACTCAAAGATATGGGGCAATGCTGTGGGATGTAAAGAAATTTTGGAACCCACACAATGAATTATAGCAATATAAGAATACAGTCAGACCTTGATTAATTAATTATGTGTAGTGTATCATGAGATAATTTTCTAATTGTGTAAATATCACTAAGAAAATGTATATAAGCCTAAATTATAAATCGTTCTACCTTCTACGGCTTTTGTTATATGGCATTGTTCCTAAGCAAGGCACCCATAGAGAAGATGAACATATTGGCTATTGGACTCGGTAATAACAGAAGGATAGGTAATTAAAGACTTAAGCATGTCAAAACAATTAATTAATAGATATAGTAAAACTGCATTATTATAAAAGATAAAATATAATACACCTATAAAGTGCACATGGGTTTGTTGTTGTTGTTGTTGTTTTCTTTTCTATTTTTGTCCTCCAGCTTACAGTTACAACAAGAAATAACCTGCAACTCTGGGATTCTCCACTGCAAATACACATCAGATTACATCTGGTTCATCATGCATCATCATGCATCACTGAAGCACTCCAGCAACAAATGTGAGTCACAGGATGAGTGTGTGAACAACTGACTCCTAAGTGGGCACTTTATGTCCTCTTTACTACCTTCAACCAAAGTCTTCAAACTCTTTTGTTTCCTTGATATTGATCCAATTTTTTATTATCTTTTATTTACTCCAATTATGTTGAATTTCTATGCTGCCCAAATCTGACATTCAATTTCAACATTGGAATTCACATAATAGGCATTTTATTTCAGCATGCTGTGACTGATACTGTCCTAAACCTTTTGATGCTAGCATTTTGCTTTTGATCAATTTTACGAAAGTTTATCCTGTAATGTGAAAAACAAGATGTACAGAAGATCCCTATTTTGATCTATTTTGATGGCTTGAGGACAGGAGAACCCAATGTTGTGTGACTTTTAAACTAAAGAACAGAAGAAGTTAAGAGAATATGCAAGCTGGAAAAGGTGGACTAGGCTCATTTAAGTATGGTCTAATACTTTGTTAACTGAGTAATTATTCT